TTGATCGACTGCGTTAAAATTCAAAGGCCTCGTTCAAAGACTAATTCGCGGTTTAACATCAATATAAATATCAGTACGATCAACTGTCATCGAGTTAACAAGGATTTATCAGAGGAAGGAAATCCTGCAGTAGGGATAGGAAAGTTTACTATACAGTAAAACCACCGTTATGTAAACTGTGTATTTTCTGTGTGATACACATATAATATACATGTTGTAATCGAAGTTTACACGTGTATAAATTTGTTCACACATAGAATGAAATCAATTCACAGTGATTCAGTTTGAAATCGACGTAGTGTAAAGTCGTAGTATTAACGATTGTAAAAAAAAAAAAAAAGAAATGAAACAATTAAAGAATTTGCAACAAACTTGACACAAAAATATAATGTTGTAAAGCCGGAAATGTGCCTATTAAAAACTATAAAAACTATTTGTTTTGCGAATGCAAGCAGCGGACGTTTGTAACAAGTCGAAGACTTTTGTGTTCCAGTTGGTTCGTGTAACGTAAGTTCTACTGTTTAATAATTCATTCGAGTGTGTTGTTCTCGGTACGAGAATGAGTGTGTTCAATTATCGCTGGACTGCGGATTTTTCTGTATTCGCTCGAAATTTAGAGATACATATTACGTGCATGACAGATGAAAAAATATGAAATATCATCAAGTGGTAGCGGTTGTTGCGAAATGTTTGCATAAATCTCATTTCTCTAGTTATATTAAAAGAAAAAAAAAAACTATAGTAATCCAGCTGTCAGATGTTACAATTGAATTTAAATTGATAGAATCTTAAATCTTTTAGTATTCTTTCCATCACTTTTTTTTTTCCTTTTTTCTCACTGAAGAATTTTACAATTCTATGAAATATAACGAAATTGCAAGCCATTTCCTGATCGTTGGTGAATGGAAACCAGGCAAGGAAACGAGACGTTGAATCGATCATAAATGCTTCATGATCGATCCCTTTCTTTTTTCATTGTTTCCGCGTCTCTGGCAACATTAGGACGCCTTTCCCCTTGTTCTTTTCTCCAGAACGACGGTGGACAACGAAACCCTTTTCCACTCTCGCAGCCGAAAGTGTCGAACTTTCGACGAATAAAAAGTTCGACTATCAAAGCGGCAGTCGATCGCTTTAAGAACGTCCTTTATTAGGGGAAAATTGCTCGCCAAGTTTCGCGAAAGTCGTTTGCTTTTTCTCCGCGGCCGCCCTCTCTGAAAGGGGTGGTGACCTTTGTTTTCGGGGAGAGAGAAGCTCGACGACGTAAATTCAGTCGAACCCTCTTCCCTCGGATAATTTAGCGAGTCGGATGTAATATAACTCGGAACGATATTGTCAGCTTGAGAGTTAGATACTCGTACATCCACAGTTGTCGGGGGTTTTATTGAATTTTTAAAGTAGAAAGTTTTTAATCGGTAAGAGAATGCACATCTATGTAATATAGTGAGGAACTATACACTTCTATAATACTAAAACAATCTTCTATCGAGATTTTATTAAATCCCATTTTCGAGAATTTTATTTCATACATTTATCACTGGACCGCGGATTTTTTCCGATGGGAAATTCCAAAGCGAAATTTCAAATTCCCTGTCGAGGTTTTTTTCTACTTTTTTAAATTGCACTCTTCGAGATGCGAATAAAAAAAAAAAAAAATCGCAGAAAAATCCAATATCACTTTCTAAATTTCAAGAAATTTAAGCGAATAATCCGCCAATCGCCCTTTTCTTTCGCGAGCAAACGAAATTCACGTAACAAAGAGCTTAACGAAATTCGAGATTTTATTACCCGATCCGAGAGAGAAACGGAACTACCGCGGACGGATCGCCGCCCATCCGGACTTGGCAAAAAATTAATGGTTCGCCGATTACAGCCAACGGATCAGCGAACCAACGTGGGACGCGGCCGAAAAATATTCGTTTTTAAAAGCTCCGGCTCTAGTGAGTGCCAGTTCGGCGGAGAAACAGGTTAAAAACAATACCAGCAGGATACGTTTATGCTATTTGAAATAGCGGAGAGATATTAGCTAGCGATGGGACCAAGTCCAACACAGCACGAAACTTGCAGATCCAAGTTAAACGTGTGGAAATACAAGAGCCAGTCGAAAATGACGCGCACGTGGAGACATTGACGTTCATAGTTCAAAAACCTAAAAGCTTCAAATCCAAATGTTTGCGAATTACTCGATCCGATCTCCGTCCGTTCTGACGTCGTTCGGAAGTATCGTTTCAATTTTCAGAAATATTCAGAGACTATCCCCGCGTATAATTGGAAGCACCAAATCGTTGGAAAAGGACTTGAATCGAAGATTCGATCTCTGGCCTGTAATGTACGCGATCCTATCTCTAATTTTAACCACGATGCTCTGGCGATGGTCGTCGGTTGGCCAAAGGTATCCACGTATCCGTATATTGCGACGGGAAAATTAAAAGTAGCTTTTTATACCGGCGGTGGTCGCCTAGGTTTAGAAAGTCGATGTCGGTTGCCAGTGTGCAGCCAGTGTGGGACTAGGAAGGGATGAAAGAGGCGCGTGGTGGTGGTTTTCCTACCGGTATTAATTCCCATATATGCTCGGGGAGCGCGAGGCTCAGTCTGTAACTACCGTGTGCACGGTCGCTAGCTCGAAAAAGAAACTTTTTTTTGCGGTTTACTTAATTTAATAACGCTGCCGTGGTACGCAATTTCAAAGATAACGCTTTAAATGGACGTGGGGGGGGGGGAGGGAAGGGCCAGCAGGCTTCTCTCTCTCTCGCGTTCACCGCTCACCCACCTTTTCCTTCCACTTCCTACATTCTTTTCTTTCCTCTCCCCTTCTTTCGCTGCCAGGGCTCTATCTTCCACCTTCCGTCACCTTTTTTATCACCTTCTGTTCCGTTTCTCTGCCACCTCTCTCCTGCTCGCTCCTTGCCCCTGTCCCCTCTGTTTTTCTTTGAAATTACTCGAGCACGTGTGTGTGCGTGGAGAGAGAAGCGCGTGCACCTACCCTCTTACTACCATTCATATCTCTGAATATATATATATATATATATAGATATACAACTGTGGTTATAATATACCGTACTTTATTCCAAAACACTCTCCTAACCAGCCACGCGGTTCTACCCTAGTCTACCTTCTCTCTTGCACGCCCCTTTTCTCGGCCCGACATCCTCTCGTTGTGCAACGAAACTGAGTTACCCCGCTTTTGGTCGTACGGCGGCTCTATCCGGCGCGTATGCACGTATCCCTGCTACTCCTGCCGGTGTAGCAACTGAGCTCGAGCAAAGTTACCAGAAGCCTCTCTCAAGCTTACCCTTTCGCCGGTGGACTGCTATTCACCCTTGCCCGAGGCATCCAGTTGCGGACCAACGTGTATAAATATGACGCGTGCTACGAAGATACGTACGCGATAATCGCAACGAAGCAAAGAGCTGTTCTCTCTCTTTCTCTCTCTTTCGTGAGTTGATCCTGGACTGGCATTCGACACTATGGCATCATCAACGTTTGTGTCCATCTCCCTTATCTAGAGAAAGGAATGTCTCGCGTACATCTTCATCGTGTTTTGCAGACGATACTACTGATTTAACTTGTTGGTCGTTCAAAGTATATCTGGAGTGTCTAATGCATTATTTTTATCGTTGCAAATAGAAGAAGCTATATTTAGAAACCACATTAAATAAGTCTCGAAAGATCTTTCGACTTTTTCAAGATGTCTAGGGAATCACGGTGTCTTTAGCTTGTTAGTCACCTAAAGTGGCTAATGGATTATTTTTATCATTTCAAACTGAACAAATTATACGTAATTACGGGCGAATCTAATATTCCAAGTGCCGAAGGATCGTTTGAATTTTTCAAGATTCAGCAAATTAAAAGTATATTCAGATTTTATGTCAGCCGTTGTAGGATTAACCGGTCGGCGAGGGAAACGAGGGAAGTCGCCAGGGCGAATCGTTTCTCGATTTGATTAACGACGGAGGCGTGGGAGGGATCGATTCGTTGCTCTTAATCCGGTGTCTTTCAACGGTCCAACCTTCACGGTCACCACATGATATATGGCGATCGTCCAAGGGTTAATCGCAGTCCAAGTAATTAGCGCCAAGTTTCTCCTGCTCGACAGCTGTCCCGCTTGGGTTCTCGAGCCCTGCTTGAAATCTGTGGTCAAATCTCCGCACCGGAATTCATAATATCCCGAACTTGAGTTATAATTACATTAGCGAAAATGTACGGACTTGCGAGCGTACGGACTCTCTCAATCGGCGACGGAACGCTTAATTAGGTAAAATTATCCAATGATATTCTTCCGCGCAGTTACTTTGCAAAGAAAAGTCTTGTTTCTTCTTTCTGGGCTAATCTTTCAACGATCAGAATCACTTCATTTTGTCAAACATTCGGCAGCATAGAAACATGCAGATTACTCGCAGTTTTGACCTGATTAAAACTTGCCACGAATCAAAACCAAAATCTAAATCCCGTACTACGGGCTTCATTCAGCTTTCATCCAACTGTCGCGCTTAGTCGAATCGATTCCGCCCAAGGAATAACAAGGGCGAAAGGCGAGGAGAAGACCAGAAGCAAGCACGACGAGAAGAGATACGTTTCAGGAGAGAAACGTAGTGGCCAACCCCCCTCGGGCCATCGAGCAAGCACGATTTATGTGGCGCGTTTATGTCACGGACGAGCTCGTGAAATAGTCCAGCGTCAACGAATAGTTGCCCGGCCGTTATAAGTAGATTTATGCCGAACCATAACCTTCGGACGTGGTGCACGGGAAGAAGAGGGTAGGTGGGTGGAAGAGGGATGACCGTGGACGAATGGGTCTGACACGGGGGAGGGGAGGGAAAGGCGATGGCTGACTGCTGGGTCACGAGGGAAGAGCCTGATGTCCCGGAGGGTGCCAGCTGGCGGGACAGGTTACTGTCTGGGAAATTGGGACGTCGGCTAGAGCCAGTTCCAACCCTCG